TTTTAATCCCTGGCGTTTGGAAATGGTTGAGAGGCCACAAAAATGCAACCTGTTGTAGCAGGCAGAGGGGTGGGTTGCATTTAATGCAATCGATAGCAGAGATTTGGTTGCAGGGGCTCGCGGGGACGTTTTGGCAGCAGCTCCGCGGCGCTGGCGGCTGCGGCGCGCGGCCGCTGCCTCGCAGGCTCCTCCGCGAGGGGACCCTGTGCTGGGAACCAGGGGTCCCTCCTGCTCTCTGCGCTCCCAGCTCCCGGCGTCCGCAGCCCCGGCTCTCCTGTGGCTGCTCCCACTTTCCTCCCACTTTCTTCCTAACTCATTCAGAGCAGCCTTGCGAATCTTTCGTCAGCAGAGGCACCAAAACTGAGCTGGAGAGAACTGATCACAGCTCGGTTCCCTGATGAGAGGAATCCACTCCCCCCCCCCTTTTAATTCCATTTTTTTATTTTTATTATTTTTACAGTTCAGAGCTAACGCTGTTGATTCAATCTGTCTTGGTTGTGGAGTTTTTAACCATGTTACTGCTAACATAGACAATTGCACAGGTAATTTGTATACACCTTACACAGAATGTCTCTCCAAACCAGCAACTAGACATAAAACTATCCATTAATGTTGGGTTTTTTTTTTTAATTAGAGTTTGCTTTCAGTTTGCCTGTCTGTTGCCGATCTGTGGTAGACAGTATATGTAGTTTCATAGATTGATCTCCACCCCCCCACCCTCTGCTCCTTGTTTAGTTAATTCAACAAAGACTTTTTGCAATCTGTTTGGAGTTTGTCTGATGCCGTGGAAAAGTAGCTGCTGATTTATTTGGTTGCTTTTCGATTTCTGTCTCCAGCCCGTCTTTTCTCCTCCTTTCAGCGGGGATGTCAGCTGTTATTACTTCCTATTGATCCCTTTGCAAAGTGAGAAGTGAACTAAAATTAATGTCAATTCCACTGCTTGGATCAATAGCTGGAGTTATTTTAATCTGGATTTGCGCGAGGTGCTAAATTAAAAAAAATCAGCATAGAGGCAGAAAAGTAGCAGTTAGTTACTCCGCCTGCGCCCGCTGCCTCCCCGCTACCCAAATACTCCATCGTGCCGATTATCCTCCAATCCATATTTTTTTAATTAAGAAGGTCATGTAGTTTTCTTATTTGGGGTTCCCCGTTTAAACCCGTGACATTTTGACATTGGGAGTGTATTAACGATAGATTTTCATAATGACCGCTCCGCCGCAGCCTCATTTGTACGTGTTGCTCGTGGGGGTGGGGGCAGGCGCGGGGCGAGCGGCGGCGCGAGGGGGAGCGCAGGAGGAAGTGAGAGTTTAAAAAAAAAAAAAAAAAAAAAAAATCAAATTTGGCTGGGTGAGATATTGTAACGTGCTGATTTATTCCCCGCGTAATGAAGTTTGCAAACGAATAAACGGCCGTAGTGATTCACGGTATCCTACAGGAGTGTCAAGTGTTCGGCCAGATTACTAATTTATGAAATACGCTTAATGTAATGGGATGATAGCACGAGTAAAAATAGAAAAGGAGACAGAAGCGGTTGCTTTTTTTTTTCTTTTTTTTTTTTTTCCTGGAAATCCATATTTTCCATGATTGCTCAGTTTCACTTCTGTGTTAAAGATTGTTTTTAACTGAGAGTGGTGCTGTATTTCTATGGCTGCCTTTAAGTGTAGGTACGCGAGTGTATATCTGTACATATATACAGTGCGTGTGTGAATGTCTATACATCTATGTATGCATTTTCCTGCCTGCATAAACCTCCCCAGCAGCTCCGGATTTGCCGGTGGATGCAGTTTGCCGAGCTCCGGTTTGGATCAGCCCTGCGTAATGCAGCAGAGCGAGCGTCCCCAGGACCGCAGCGCTGCCCGGGATGCCCTTGGCATCCTCCTCCCGCCTTCCCCCCCTCTCCCGCCTCTGTGACAACTTCGCAGGAAAGTTATTTAAAATTTGGAAGGYGGCGAGTCCGCTAATGCGAGATACATAATCTGGTAATTTAGCAATGATGTCTGTAAGGATGGGTGCCAAAYGAGGAAGCGGGGAGATGATGTCCACTCATCTTCCCGATTAATAGCAGCCGCTGGAGCTGTGCAGGGTGGCAGGGAGGAAGCGTCACCGCTGCATTAAAGCCGCCGGCTGGATTTCGGGCACTTTGTTAACCTGGGCTCCCTCATTCAGGGAGTACAAAAGGCACTCCATTAGGGAGACGCTCTTTCAGTAAGTTTTATTTGAGATGTTTGACCCTCTGGATTTAAGAGGCACAATTTGTAACCGCTTTTTATTATTATATGATTTTTCTGGCCCTTTGAGCTCCAGCCGGCGAGGATATTGTTTCAAAGTTATAGTGCTTGTGTTTTAAGCGGCGTTGAGGGGCCTGAATGGTAGGCAGCGGAAGCTTAAAAGAAAAGACCTTAGATTGATTGGGGGAGAAAACTGCAAAACAACAAGCCAGGGCAAAGGCAGATGCAAAAGGAGCCTTTTCCTGCGTTTTTCTGCGTTTTTGTGGCTGCAGCCGCCCTCGGAAGCTCGGCACACCGCGAGTCAGAAATTTTGTTAACATTTTCCTCTAAATGTTAATGGCACATCCAGGGCAGTTTACAAATCTACTTAAGAGCGAGTGCATTAGGAACTGAAATTACTGATCCATCCTCTCTTGTCCCCGACCCGCAAGGCAGGCGCTCGCGGAGATCAGATGGCAGCGGCCCCCGTGATGACTTTAAAGATCGTCAGAGACGCCAGGCACTTTATTGGGGAAGTCTCTTCTCCTTTGGCTAAAAGGGAGCGTGTGCTGTGAGTGTGTCACGTGTGTTTGTGCTTGTGTGTRTGTCCTCCATACGTGTCCTCCGTCACCCTCACACCTTCCAGGAGCCTCTGTGGCTCTAGGTTGGCATATCTAGGTGTACTGGGTGGGCAGGCATGTCTATACTGGGACTGCGAGAGGGCAGTATATGGCTGTGAGGTAGGTCTTGGGCGTTGYGCGTGGCATGAAGACGCGTGGTGGCTCAGCTGTGTAATTACGTGCAGTAGATATTTGTATATTGGTTGGTTGCATATGTATATATGTGTGGAGATAAACTCACAATTGAGTAAAAGTGTTGTGTCTATATCTGTGGGCGTTCTTAAGTTCACTGTAATTAAACATAGGTGCCTYTGCCATATAAAACTCCTGTTATGATTTGGAGTTAGCGTCTTGATTTTAGACCAAATTTTTTTCATTAGTGGGTCATTAAATGTTCGTATTATTTTATTTGGCCTTCTTTCCCTTCATCCACATTGGATGATGCCTTTCTTTAATCTCGAGGGCCAAGGCCGGTCCCGCTGGGGCGCAGGTTGTGTTTTGGCTCTCTTGAATGGGAAAAGCGACRCGTCTCCGGCCGCGTGGTGTTAACACGTGTGGCCACCCCACTGCTGGAGCAGCCCCGAGGGATGAGGACAGGAACCTCACCGCGTGTGTTTTCTTTTCTTTTCTTTTCTGTTTCCTTGCAGCTCTTGGAGGGTAATGACGCTCCAGTGATTTCCCCCGCTCCCTTTCCCAGGCCTCGCTTTCCCTTCCGTCCAGGGAAGATCGTTCTGCTTGCGATCCTGCTGAGGAAAGAGACTCCGATGGACTTGCACCGGGCAGCGTTCAAGATGGAGAACTCGCCCTACCTCCCCAACCCRCTGGCCTCGCCGGCGCTCATGGTGCTCGCGTCCACGGCGGAGGCGAGCCGYGACGCCTCCATCCCGTGCCAGCAGCCGCGGCCTTTCGGCGTGCCCGTGTCCGCGGACAAGGACGTGCACATCCCCTTCACCAACGGCTCCTACACGTTTGCCTCCATGTATCACCGGCAAGGCGGCGTGCCGGGGGCCTTTGCGAACCGTGACTTTCCTCCGTCCTTGCTTCACCTGCACCCCCAGTTCGCGCCCCCCAACCTGGACTGCGCGCCCATCAGCATGCTGAACCACAGCGGCGTCGGCGCCTTCCGCCCCTTCGCCTCCGCCGAGGACCGCGAGAGCTACCAGTCGGCCTTCACGCCGGCCAAGCGCCTCAAGAACTGCCACGACACCGACTCGCCCCACCTGCGCTTCTCGGATGCCGACGGCAAGGAGTACGAGTTCGGCACGCAGCTGCCCTCCAGCTCCCCCGGCTCCCTCAAGGTCGATGAGACGGGGAAGAAGATCTTTGCCGTCTCTGGCCTCATTTCCGATCGGGAGACCTCGTCCAGTCCTGAAGAGCGAAGCGACAGATGTAAGTACCTCTGTTGACTTGCTGTCGTTACTTTAGCTGCACCGTGTTGGGGTGCTCAACAGGTGATTGCCCTGCAGTGCTGATGCTCTTGCTGCAGGGAGGGGAAGAGCAACCTTGTCTTCTTGCTAAGTTGAAGCGCTCGGTGTTGCCTTGCTTCTCTTAAAAGGACATTGATGGATTTCCAGGTGAGGTGCCCCTGAAGGAGACTTGTCTTGTAGCACGCAGCTGCTGAGACAACGTTGACCTGGCTTTCCCTGCAGGAAAATGTCCATGCCCTAGCGCGAGGACATGAGTGCTGGTACATACATAGGTGTGAACAAGGGGTCAGCTGGAGGGCATTGCCAGAAACTTTTCCAGAGCTTATGGCAAAYGTAGTAGGCACTGCTCTTTCAAGGGTTTTATCTGTGGCATTTTCTTCATGTGCGCCCATCATCCTTACAGCAAATGCGTCAGCCTTCAGGCTCTGCGCCTCCGATGGGAGCAAAAGGTACCTTTCACTCTGGTTAATTTAAGAGTGTTTCTGGCCATCAAGCTCTCTCCTCGAGCCATAAACCTGAATCTCTCCTAACAATTCAGTAAGCCCTTGGTGCCCGCTGAGAGGTGCTGTGCCCTTCCGCGGGTCGGCGAYTGGACTGAATCGGACCCGTCCGCTGGACGTGGCTGTAGCTCCCTGCTCCCCTTCTCCTCGTCTCGCCGCCTCCGTAGGGGAGCCGAGCGGCCCTCCCTGCAAGGGGAGGTTCCAGGTTTGCTGGCCAGGGAGGTGACCAGGGAGGGGAGCCGAGTTCCGTGCCCTGGTGAGGAATGCTAAATTAGGAACGGGGGTTCTGGTAAATCCAAACATATGCGTCAATGAACGAGTGGCTTGGATTTTTTGTTGGCTCCTTTGTTCTGTTGATTTTTCTTCCTAGAAAACATTTTTTTAATTGTTGCTATTAATGCTATATATTTATATATATATATATATATATATATATAAAACAAAAAAACCCTGCTGCAGAGCTTCCTCCCGCTTTCAGATGTGATTTTTTTTTCTTCTCCTCTTTATGATGCCGAGGAGAGTAATAGAGACATTGTGGCTCTCGCTCCCCTGTCGGCGCTGCTTCCTCAGGCTGTCTCCTTGAATTAGGCGCAGTGTTAACTTACCGCTGCTAAAAGGCATCTGCCTAAACCCAGCGTACCTTTTCAATAAAAGTCGTCATAAAATCAACCTGCCTTGTAAATCCATCGCTCTTTGGGTTTGAAATACACCGCGGGTGCGTGCTTTATGTCGGCATTTGGGCGCGTGGGACGATTCCCACTTCAGGCTGGAGCTGTGTTTTCCTTGCGCTATGGATGTGGTCGCTTATCCTTCACCCCGTCTCCTCCTGATCCATCCCGTGGGCGCTGCTTTGGTGCTGGGGGGCTCTGGTCGTTGCTCAGCAGCTCCCTATCCGTGCTTGGTAGCGGCTGTGGGTGGGAGCGGGTATGGATGTGGATGTGTGTAAGCTGTTAATATAATTATCTRGGGGGAGGAGAAGAGATAGGGGAGATGATGAGGCTTTGGACATCCTTTGCCGATGCTCTTTTCCTTATCAGCATAACCTGCTGCTGGAAATGAAGCTAGCTCCAAAGAATACTTTGGTGGATAATGACGGGAGAGCGGCTCCTCCAGCTAAATGAATTTAGAGCGGCTCAGTCGCTGTGCGTTTTCCTAGCGAAATCCCGTCAGACACCCCATCTAAAGAAGCAAATCTCTTAAATGAATTAGAATGTGTGGAGCACAGCTGTGGACAGACGGACACAGGCACAGCGAGCGGCGCGTGGTCCTCGCCACTGCTGTGTGCCGAGCAAGGGGCCTCGTGCTCGAAGCCCACGGGGGGTTTTGCTCAGGAGGAAGAGGGGAAACGGAACAAAAAACTTTGCATTTAGCTTTGCAAACTTGGGCAGAAGGAGGTATTTTGTGTTCTTCTTGCCCATGTCATTAAATTCCTTTAAAAYGCTGAGCTTCACGGAAGAGCCAAGCAAAAGCAGCATCCCTGGCATTTCACCGAGATGAAAATTCTTCGGYATCTACCAGGACAGTTTATACCAAATGCATCCGCTGGCTCTGTATCTTATTCCCATCATATATAGATATTGCACCATGGAAACACAGCGCCATTAACACAACAGTTTATTTGTTGTGTGCAGACACACGTATGTGTGTGTTTGCTAGAGGGCGAGCGAGCGAGCAGCAAAACGTTTTAGTGGATCCTAATGATCTTTTCTGTTGACCATCAGAACAGAAAAACTTCCTCCATGAGGAATCTGAGAGATGGCAGTTTGCAGAGAGAACCGCAGTCTTGTTCTGCATTGAAATTCCCAAACAGATTTGGGGAGTTTCTATCTCCTTTTACAGAAATGGGGGCTTTGGGGTGTTTGCGCTCGCTGATTATTGGCACCAGAGAAGTTTTCTGCGTTCCTGGTGTAATTGTTTGGAGCAAGCTGTGTAAAAACGGCCCAGCTTTGCTCCTGGTGTGCAGTCTGTTGCTGGCAGGTTCCTGTAGCTTCTAGGCAGAAATGCAATAAAGCTTCTACAAGGGCTGGCAAAAATTGTAAAATTCTCTTAGATCAGCAACACCTTTATATGTCTAATGGGTGCTTTTCAGAATTGCAGAGCTTGTCTGTTCAGCTGTAYTTTTCAGAATTTTAAGAGGGTTTGTGTTGCATGGGGGGGGCGAATTACGGTAATTGCACTGCAATGTCTTCTGTACACAAGCGCTTTTTTGAATAGTTCACTAAAATGTTTGTTTTGCCCCATAACTTAAATAGTGATTTTTTGAGGGAGAAGTTTTTTTAAAAAAAAAAAAAAAAAAAAAAAAAACTCAGTGAGATTTAGTATTCCTGAAACATAACTTCACTCTTGAAATAGTTTACAACCAAATAAGATTCCAAAAGCGGGTGCTTTCATCTTGGAGACGTTTGGAAGCTGCCCTGTGTAGACCTCTGCATCACTGGGAGCAAAATCTCATTGAATTTTCACCAATTGAAAAAATCCACTAAATTTGCTAAAAGTTGGGGAAATTTTTACTAGCATGACTGAGAGTAGTAGCTGACCATTTAAGATATGTATTTATGCAGTAGAGATAATTGCCTCTTGGGTGAACCTTTGCTTTCTGTTAATTCAGGGTGATGCTTTGCAGCCGCGTGAGCACCTGAAGTCCATGAGACAGCTAGTGAGGGACAGCTGGGCTTTGAGGTGCACCTAGGTGTGATGGTGCTCCTCGTTATCCAGAAAATTGGTTTGAGACCTAGGTGCCTAGACAGGTCATCTCTTTGTGTACAAACATAGGTACTTGGGATATGCTGGGAGATGAAGCATACAGGGAGCATACCCAAAAGAGGAGTCATCCCAGGGAGGAGCAGACAGGTCGTGCATTGGACGGGGCCTGCTCTATCAGATGGTTGTTGAGAAAAATAGTGATGTTTGTCACAAGAAGCTCTTCAAAGCACATGCTAATGATGCTGGGAGATGTAATTTATTGGATTCCTTTAATAAGTGTAGGATAGTTGAGATTGCTAGAGGGAGCAGAAATAAATGGCAAACTCCTTTCTGTAGSAGGGGTCCATAGTCTCATTTCAAGATCAGCAAAAAGTAAAGATTGCTTTAAAAAAAGTCCTGGTGCCTTTCTGCGCACAGTCACCATGGCATCACCTTCCCCCTTGGTTCCTGTTTGGTTCCTGTTGCTGCCCATGGCTTAGTCTTCATTGAGTGTTGCCTGCAGTATGTGGAGGACCTGCAGCAGGATKAGCCTCCACCTCTTGGCCACTGGTCTGGTTTTCAGACCCCTGTCAGGGTCTGGCTCTGTTGGCCTCAGTGTCCCTGTTGCCACTGGGGATATCCAACCAGGTACCGATGTGCCCTGAGAAAGAGTGATCTAGTTGGTAAGCATGTATTAGAGTGGATTTATTAGTAGTATTTTTATTATTGCTCTTGGGAATAATCAACGTTTCTCCTTGGATGCTGGGACCTGGGTGGTTTGTCCTGCAGCCGTCCGTCTCCTGTGACGGAAGTTGACAAGGTCTTTGTTCCACCTCCGTGGTGGACTTGTCCAGCYGTGAGACAGGCAGCCTGTTATTGATCAGGTGGAAATGCAAAATCACACTTGGGGTGATGAACGTTGGGCTGCGATGATCCCGGCTTGCGTTTCTGAATATGGAGCACCTTGGAGCACAGGCAGCCTGCCCGTCGGGCACGCATGTGTTCGGCTTTGTGTTTACGTGCTGGGCCYTATGGAAAGCTCTGTGTGTGTGTTTGTGTATTTTTTTCTTTTTCTGTTTTTCTCTACTACTCTGTGGCAGGGCAGTGGGTTGCAGGGGATGGCAGGGCTGCTCCTGCCATCGTGCATCGCTCCCAAGGCAAGTCAAAATTTGGGCTTGAATGCAAAGTGACACTGTACCTAGAAACAATCAGCTGTGCCCATGGGAAACTGTGAGCTTAAAAACGCTTGCGAAATAATTGGATAAATGAAGCAGACGCGGACTTGCCGTCATGCAGCGTGGCGCGGGAGAGAGGCAGAGCAGCAGCAGGGTGTGAGCGCAGACGGGCAGGGCTGGAGCGAGACACGGGCGCCGGTCCCACGATGTCCCTGCGAGCGCCTGCTCTGAGCGGATGGCGCTCGGAGACCGGCCCTGCATTCAGCTGCTGGCACGTGCGGCCACGTCCTTTTTTTTTCCCTTTTAATTTTTGTTTTTTTCTGGCAGCACCTCTCTGCTCGCTCCGCAAACTGTTGCGGCKCCTCCTCTCCGCGCCGCTCGCTTTGCTCTCCTGAGGAGCCCRTCGGTGTCTGAGCGGCTAAAGTGGGGACGGGCTGGGTGGGAGCAGCCCCTGCCGGCTGCGGGGCCATCTGGCCTGGCTCCGCTCTGCCCGCTGCCACTTTATATTTCTCGTTCTGCTCTTCGGGGCTGTCTGGCACGCTCGGAATCGCTAATGACCGTGGTGAGCCGTGCGCCCGTCCCTGCCCATCAGTTGTCACACAGAG